TTGAATCGGAGCATGTCGCCTCCACCATCTTCGCTTTCGTTCAATGACGGCATATTCTATCGCCTAGTTCAATACCGCTTTCCGATGTGACTTAAAAAGCTAGATCTCTCAGCTTTAAGGCAATGAGACGAAACCCAATCCTTAGCGCTGCATTAGATAAGCCTTCACCAACAAATATGTGTTGTGTGTTGAGTTATGGGATTATGTATGGACACTAAGGGGCTGTTCTCTTCAGTTTTCAGTTTTGAGTTTTGAATTCCTTTTGAATCTTGTATTTTGAGTGTCCATTTTGAGATTGTTGAAAATGCATTCTTTTTGTCATTTTGAAAAATTATTTTCAAAAATAAAAAAATGAAGTTTTTGCTTAATTTTAACTGAAAACAGCCAAAACAACTTTTTTGACATTTTCCGTTTTCTTTTTAAATTTTAAACTCGTATTTGAAAATTTGAAAATAGGTAAATAAACATGTTTTCAGTGTTTTCGAAAACTGAAAATTGTCTGAAACTAGCAAAAAGAACAGATCCTAAGGTTCTGAAAACACTATTGCTCCATGTTTGAAGAATTGTGTGCAATAGTCAAAAAAGACGAGACAAAATAATAAAAGAAAAATTGTCGTGTTTGAAGACATTTGACTCATCAAGTTTCCTACTAAGAAATTTCCTTAATTTCCCGGAAGATTAAGATGAAATAAAGTTAGAAGAATTATTGACTTAGGATGTGGATGATAACTATTGAGCGTTCGTAATCTTCTTAATATTAATTCTATATTTATGAATGGCAGATTTTAGTCTCTATCATGCCCATGAATGGCAGATTTTAGTCTCTATCATGCCCTACAACAATAATTTTAGATTTTGACTGCTCATCTTAGCTTCAAACTGACTCAATTGCTCCTATAACTTATTTTGCACTCTTGTAACACATCGAAGTTTAAGATCCACCATAAAAGATCAACTTTATTTAAAGTTCAAAGCGTATGTAAATATTCTTTATTATTTTTCACATTTAAATGATGTGAGACTTTATTTCAATAGTATCTATTGGATTGATTTAGAGAACACTCGTTGATGCAGTCTTTTGTACATAGTTAGATGTGATTCATGATTCGACTTACACTTGGTTGGCTCACCTTAAAAGTAAAAATCTTA